CTTTTCCTTCTTCCTCCCAAAAAGCACAACTAAGAGCCCAAAATATCACATTTAAAGCAAACATTAAAAAAGAGATAAAGAGAGCAGATCTCAAAGCTTAATTTTAAGGTAATTGTGCAAATATCATTTAGCATTGTGCTGATTCCAAATGATCATTTGTAGTAAATTTGATCTAGAAGACACTATAGTACATCTGATTCAGCTGTGTCGATTTTACCTTGAGTTAACACAAATCAATATATTTGTCCTATATCTTTACACTTCTGGGGGAATTCTTTATGCTTGCATATTTACTGAGGACATCAGAACTTCAATGAAAATGGTGATATGATCAGTAGATTTTCTTTTCACTTGAAACTGAATAGTCTGAAACTTGGAAAAGTAAATAAGTCCATACAAACCCAACTTCTAAGAAAGGGGAAGACTTGCGAGAAGAAAACTTTCAGAGAATAAACCATGTACTCCAACCAAACACCACAAGGAACTCTGCAGCCCATCCCTACTCATACACACAAAACAAGTGGGACATCCCACAGGCAGTACTAACAGCCTTCCGCCCATCCCGCCCCCCGTAGGAACGTGTCAGAGAAAACAAGTAAGTAACTTGCACAGGATCCCCCTGCCCCAGCTGCTTAAGAGGCCTTCAGTGTCAGTGAAGATCACTGAGGGACCCTGGACTTCAACCCCCACCTAGTAATACCAAGGACCTCAATTTCCTTCTTGGGTGCTGCCAGGGTGGGGCTGGAGGAAAGGGAAGATGTTCACCATAATCCAAAGATAACAAAACAAACCCACCTCAGTGTCAGTGAAAAGCATGTGTGAGAAAGAATAGTCACCCTTGGGGAACTAGGGAGGAGCCCACATAGGTTTAACGTGAGGCTCAAAGTGGAACCCCAACTTCTGCCTTTAACAGGGAGAATTAAGGTCACCTCCTGTCCCTCAGGATGTAATGTCAACAAAAGCCAGAAAAAAATCAGAAATATACTAAGTATATTAGAGTAATGCTTAAAGCAAACAGTAAAAACTATATAAATAATTGCAATCAAATACAATACAAATAATTAGAATGAGTATATACATTGTTCAGATAAACCCACAGAAAGGCAGGAAAGAAAGAAATGAAAGAAAAAATAAGATGAAATGGCATACTTAAGCTCTAATCAGTCAATAATTTGTTACTAAAAGACAGATTGGCAGAGTAGATTAGAAATATGCATCCCCTATAGCCTGTGTGTAAGAAACATTTCAAATATGATAGACAAATTTAAATAAAATGATGGAAAAAGATACATCATAAAATTTTTAATAAAGGGAAAACAAGTAGCTCTATTAATATTAGATAAACCTCAGAGCAAAGAAATCCACCAGAGAAAGAGAGGGGCATTATACATGATAAAGGTTTAATGCAACATGACGACTTAATGATCCTAAATATGAATGTACTAAACAAAAGAACAGAAAAACTGTCCGAATCAAAAACACCTTTCTCTAAACTAAACAGAAAAATCACCAGAAATTTTGACTAACTCAATAAAATCACCAAGAGGATATAATCAAATTATAAAGGGCATCACATCCAAACACAGCAGGATAAACATTCAAGTGCCAAAAAAATAAAGATATGGCGTATTCAGGTTGGTGAATGAATGTTCCACCTTTCATTTATAGTACTGAGGCCCATTTCTTTATTTTCTGTTAAAAGGGAAGCAATCACTTTCACTTTCTAGAAGTCATTTTGCAACAGGGTAAATTCCCTGTCCGAGGATGGACAGGATGGTGAGGCTAGGAAATGTAACAGTGTGAAGTAATAAGGGCTGAGGAAAAGGACTGAGGAGAAGCAGCAGACAGAGGAAGAAGACTATAGGAGAAAGATCTGAAGCCACACTTGCTTCTTGGTCTTGGACTTGTACCAGGAACTTGGGAGACATTTGACATGGACATGGAAGAGAGACCTGTGCGGAGACTGACAATGGCAACCTCCATCTTGACTTTGATTTTGCTCTTTTCCTTCCAGACATGGTTGGCCCCTTTTCTCTGAGTCTCACCAGAAGTTGCCTTAGTCTTATGGTAAGCTTTTGAACCTCAACTGCCCTGTATGGGGTCAACCCTGTTTGGCTGGGCATTTGCCCATGAGGGGATGGGTAATTTTGGGTGGTTGATTTGGAAACTCTTTTTTTCTCTGTTTCTTTTCTCTAAGGCACACTAATTATTGCATACTAATTGTATTAAAGTTATTTTCTATTGAAGGTCTTACACACCTAGATTATGTTTTGTCTTGATGCAGCAGATGGCAGAACCCATTTAGAGTGGACAGATTTGGGGGTCTTGGGGTGCCCCTTCTTCTGCCCTGTAACTATCTGGTCCTACTAGATCTACTTCTCAGACCTACAGTGGCCTGTTGAGTTCTTCTGGCCTGAATCTCTTACTCCGCATCCTGAGAAAGCTCTCCAGGCTTAAGGGATAAGGAGAATTAAGGATAACTTTATTTCAAATCTGTGATACTAATTTTGTCTTCAAAGTTTCCTTTGCTATGGAAAATAACATGTTTCAGAAGTTCCAGTGCTCACGGTGTTGGAATTCTTAGGAAGTACAGGGCATTACTATGATTATTACACAGGCTTTATGAACAATTTTAGAAAAACACTTAATTTTAAATAGAGAGCTGGCTGGAGTCCTTATTATGCAACATGCAAAACATGAGGCCATTGGGATATTCATGATCCTCTTTAAGCCTCCAGTCCTTATTCACAAAATAACCACAGCAATACCTAATTCACAAGACTACTGTAAGAATGAGTGTTAGGAATTATGTTATGTCCAAAAAAAAATTAAGGGAAAAGAGAATAGTTTAAAATACTTTAAAATGTTTTTAGAAACTTCATTCTGAAAGACACTCAAGTATAAATAGCCACAAAAAATGCTTGCAAGCATTTTCAACCATTGTCACCTAGAGTATTAACTTTGATAATATTCTTAGTATTTAAGAATCAATGCAAATTGGTAAGGACAAAAAGCACTGAATCTTTGAATAGTTATGTGAGCATAGGTTACAAGCAGATAATTTTCTCTCAGTCAAACCCTAATGACCAATATAAAAACAGAAAAAATGTTCAACCTCAAAAAAGTAATTAAATACATGCAAATTAAGAGAAAATTCAATTTGTTAAGTTAATGAAATGAGGATAAAAAATTTGATTTGAATATCCAGACATATTAGAAAAACATTTATCATCATTTCTGATGAAATGGACATTCAAATTCTTGTGATAAATTTGTAAGTTTCATATTCTCAAAATATATTTGATAACCTTTATATAAAACCCCAAAATACCTACCCTCTTAGTATCAGGAAGCTTAATGAATAACTCTAACAGAGCTTTATTTGCAAATACACTAATCATAGTGTACTTTATAATAGGAGATAATGCATGTTGAGTGTTGAATATGGGCAAAGTTGTATCGTAAAAGATTTATATATTTGTGGTAAAGATAGTCAACATTCATCAAATTGCTCATTTATTTCCTCATCTTTTCCAGCCTTCACTCCATTTAAGTGGAGGTCCCGTGATTGCTTTCAGTCAATAAGATTATGGGAATTGTCTGCTGTATGTTGCTGAGGCAGTTGGGAAGCAAGGTACTATGTCAACCCTTCTGGTCCTTTGCTAACTGGACCCTGGAAGTCTTGTGACACATAGAATGCTGTTTCTATGTTGACATGGGAGCATTACAAAATGGGGCCTCCCTGATGGCGCAGGGGATACCTGCACCAGCCACTGCAACATGAGTTCAATCCCCGGCCAGGGAGCTGACCCACATGGCACAGCAGACCTCTCCTGCCTTGCCCGCTGCTCCCCTCAGCAGTGTATTTCAGCAGATCTGCCTGTTCAGCTCCCCGCTCTGTCTGGTGAATCCTCTCACCCTTTGTACCTCTGGCCTATACCCCAGCTTTTATATGCATAAATAAATAAATCTTAAAAAAAAAAAGAAAGTTTCATTCATGTGCACAAGGCGATATACTCAGGGCCTGGATTTGCTATAAAATGGAACACTTTAGGAGTTAAAATGTATGCAAATTAAAGAATAATATTTAATACTGTAAATTTTACAAATTATATTCATCAAATTAAGTTAGTTGTAAAAGGAAACATGCAAAATGATAGCACTCATAGAAAAGCTTTAACATAAAAATTTTGTCTCTCTGTATATCTAATATTAAGCAATTTTTGGCAATATGAAAAATATATTGCTATGTCTAATATAAAATCAGCTCCAATATTTAACTATTTTTAAGTATTTATTAACATTCACTAAAGGTAAGTCATAATAATTTAACATGTATTTTCAAAGTCTAAAGTGTATTGAAATTCTTTGTAGTGGCTTAAGTATAATTTGTCTAATGATATTAGGAAATTTTTTAATTCTGCCTGCAATATGAGATGGGTTTTGCAGCTTAACATGTTTTTAATAACAGTGAAATGCATGCCTCTATAGCTCATTCCTTTATGCATAAAAGGAGATGCAATAGTCATATTCCATTAATTTAAGTATTTGTCAATGGAGTTACTGTAAGTTCCCTAAAGCATTCGCTTATCTACCCTGACGTTAAAATCTGTGTCATATATATTTATAATTATCTTAGCCAATGGAACTTGTTGATCATAAAAACCACTCATACAAATCACATAAGACACAAGAAAGTATTTGAAATGCCATATTTTTAGATGAATTATCTAGCTTGATACCTTTCTAAGTTTAATACAGTCTAAAGTCTAAATTTCCAAAGTAATTTCATTTACTTCCATGTTGTGGAGATTGATTTTTATTCTTACCTACAAATTAAAAATGAACTTCCATCATCCATGTAGCTTAATACATAGAATAGTTTCTTTTTTAAATGGGGCCACTGAATCAAAAATATTGAAAATATGAAGAGAATAAAAAATATAATCCAATTATCTTGTGAACAGTTGAATCAATCGAGAAGAAAGTTGAAAATGTACCAGAAAATTAACAGGTGTCTTCCTCATAAATGACAGTCCTTATTTCTTGTATTGATGATCTGTCTGTAGGAAGTGAAGATTCTAGAAGCCAACATAAAGAATATAATTTTATGATATGGTAGGTTGAATGCCTTTATCCAAGGTCAACCTTCCTAAAATATTGAAAGACTTCAAATTCTTAAGTTCATACATTTCAATATTCATTTACTCCTGACAATATGCCACCTCTTGGTTCAAAGGGAAAAAAATACATCTTAAATATATATTTAAGAGCAAAGAATAAAGCTCAGTAGAGTATTTAACTTCATATAACTCTTTAAAAATTTTTATGACTTAAGTGAAAGCTAGTAAAAAAAAATCATAAATTCATTTACTTTACCATGGACTTGGAGCTTTAAATGAAAGTTCAAAGTGGTCATAAAATGTTCTATTGGTTTCATACTTTCCAAAGCACTAAAAAAAATGCATCGGTGTTAATGTGTGAATCCAGTGATGGATTTCATTGGGCTGAATGGGGATGAAATGAGATGTGAATCTCAGACAATATTGACAGGACAGTAGTACACTTTTTGCTAATCCAGAGCATCAGTTTCTTTTCCTATTGTATTTAAATTATAAATGTGATTAATCTTTTTACTGAACTGATTGTGTATACTCTTTTGTTGGTTTGAAATTATTTTCACCTAAATATTATATTATGGAAGGTTGTACCTGCAGATTTAGGGGAATAGTTTGATTACAAGTGGTTTTACAAGAATATATATATATATATATATAACTCATTTTTCCCTCTACAGAATTAATCATAACAGCAGTGAATAATTTTATCCCAATGAATTGAAGGCTTAATAAAATTGATTTAATGCATTTCTGACATTGATTTCCATCACAAAATATAGTCTGATATAAAATTTCAAAGATATAGTAATTTCTTTTCTTTTACCTTATTTTTTATGTCCCTCATCATCCCCTCAGCTTAATGCTTCTTTCTCAGAAAGTAAAATTGTGAGATGATTGAGAGAAAATGATTAATTTCATACAATTTTGAGTCCAAATATCCCACAATTTTGTGTATCTTTTCACTCAAAATGTTACTTCTAGAAAATTGGAATAAGAACATAATGGAGGTAGTCAAGATTTTGCTTCCAGGTTCTTATATTTTATATAGTGAATTGTCAACTACCAATAAGGAATCCAACAAATTTTCATTAATTTAAAGAATGAAATTCAAGGACTTACAATACCTGCTAATAATATAAAAGAAGATGATCTATCAACATGGAATATATAAATGATAATTTAAACTGGTATTAATTAAAATGATTAGGTACAACAAAGATCCTTTCAGTAAGTGAATAAACATCAATGCAATGTAATACTCAGTCATAAAAAGAGCAAACCATTGATTCACACAAGGATGAATACACTTTGCCAGTGAGAGGGGGTCAGAGCTAGAGGTTTATGTATGATTCAGTCTAGTCTATTCCCCATTTGAATTGCTGCTACCCAAAGAGGTGAAATAAATGCTCACAATATCATGACATGCAGATGTGTGATGGTTTGTTATAGAGCATTATTGTAGAATTATCAAAATAATAAAATCTGACTACATAAAATATAGCTAAATGTCAAAACTAAATATATTACAAACAAAAAGGAGGAGATACACACACACATAAAGGTGATATATATACATATATAAAGGTTATATAGTTTTATCAGTAATATATAAAAAGTGCTCTATGAGAAAAACAATCATTAAAGTCATCAAAATGAACAAAGAACATAAACAATAAAAAACAAGATGTGAAAATATAAATATATTCCAGAATTTTTAGCACTTGTAATGGTAAATCCAGAGAATAAGGATAAACCATTTTTCATACATTTAATGACTAATGTTATTTGTACAACAAATCTGTTAGGGATATGAATCAGTACAGTGTCACTAATAATTATTGATGATATGGATCATATTTGAGACCAAATAATTACCTTTCAAGCAATAAATTGGATTACATGTTCATTAGTAAAGAAAAATCCCCTATCTGTACATACAGTAAGATACTTCAAATTTGTATAAACTTTGTATAAATGCTCATGTTCACATAAATAAAAACAGTATAATATTCAATAGATCTCTCTTATTATAATAGCAAAAAGCTACATATACATGATGACTAATAACAAATGGTACTTTATACAATTAATAATAAAAATTACATATAGGTAAAGTTCTAACATATCAATTGTTTAAATTTAATTGTAAAGGGCACACTGAAACCTTACACAAATATAAATGTGCAAGCAATTATTTACACATAATTTATGGGTAGATGTATTTAAATGATTGTGTTTTTTAATGTCAACTGTTTAGGCAAAATACAGAGAAAAAAGGTTTATAATGGATAGTCTCTGAACATAAGAAAATTTTAGTCATTGGTTGTCAACATTTGTGTCCTATGCTCTGAAAAATTATTGAAGACTTCGAAAGCTTTTGTTTATGTTAAACATAACTGCTCACATTTATTGTATTATATTATAAATTTAAACTGGCAACTTCTGAAAACGCAAGAATACACAGAAACATTTTAGATGATCTCTCAGAGTTATGGCATTCATGTAACGTAACTTCTGCAACAGACTATACATAAAAAAAACAGGCTATACACGAAAAAAGGAGAGAGAAAAAGGCAAATAGAGTGACAGTGTTATTACGACACACTTTTGACCTACGTGAGTCCGTGAAGGGGTCTGGGGGACCGCTGGTGTACTGCTAGTCTGGGTAGAGTTATTAGGGTGGGCTTAATTTTGATTTATATACTTGTTTCTATTTTAACAATTATTTTACTTTGTAATCCCATATGCACTGTTTTGAAATCAGAAAATTCAAAATTTTATTACAATGACAAAATGTCAGCAAAACAAGCTCCAGCCTTTTCTTTCTCATTTGATTCTAAAATACTTTGTCTCTAATCCTCCCTCTATCTTTTGTCCTGTATGTCTCCTGTCCTTTACCTTCCAACTTTCTCTTTTCTTCCTCTTTTCTAATGTGACCCAGAGGAGTACCACCTACAAAATTTATCACCAGATATTAAAAATGTGATCAAGGGCTTATTTCCAGAAGTTCATAGCTTAATGAGGAACAAGTAAACCCTCTAATTGTCTTGTTTTTATGCCACTCCTACACTAGATGACACAGATGTGGGTCTAATTTGCCATTCATTCTCTAGATTGTTTAGAGCCTCATTTTTCCAGATATTTTCTCGACCTTTATGATCCAGTTGAAGCCTTCCACCAAGGCAAATTCACTAAGATTCCTAGCACACAAAACTCTGCCCCTTCACCATACGTCACTGTGAGATCTTCAATCACTGCATTTGTACTTCCTCCCTCCCAGCTATCTTTAAGGCAATTAAATAAAACAAATGTGCATTAAAGCTGATTCTGTTTCCCAGAGTATCATCCATCTCTTTCGATAGTTAGTTGATACTCGCTAAAAACTGACTTATAAATTGCTTTGCGTCTGATAATTTAGAAAAAAATGATTGTCATACACTGATATATGACACAGTTATACTCTTGTACTGACTGGCAGCAAATAAAAACTTTATTGTCTTTAAAATGGAAATGACAAAGTGTCTTGAATAAAACTTTTATTAGGATATAAAGTGCAAATTGGTGTTAGGATAGATGCAATCTCAAAGGTTATTCAAATATGATTTTAGGAGTTATATTTTTAAATTATCATGCATAAGAATGCATAAGAAGAATTTTTGAAACTGAACCTAGATATATCATCAGTGGGTACCTTATTTTTGATAAATGCAAATGTCCTTTTTTTATAACTTTGTAACAAAATATTATAGCTTTTAATTATAAGATCAAGATTTCTTTCAGAAATACATTAATATCCTTCCATATGATTAACAGACCAATGCCATTAAAAGTGCCAGAATAATCACTTAAGAATATGGTCATCTTCATCTTAAAACCATACCCCCCATACAATTTTCTGACCCAATCACCCCAAAAAGTGTCTCTGGTTATAGTTTTTTTGTTGATTTTGATTTTCACTTTCTTATATTCATTTTCCTGGTGATTCCTGCTATGAGTGAGACTCCGGTATTTTTCTTTTTCTTTTTGGCTTATTTCGCTGAGCATGATCATACATTTAATTGCTGATATTTTTAATTATAGTGAACTATTTAAATGTAATAGTAAATACTAAAAATCACCCATAATGTTTTTATGGGTTATTACTACTGTCGAAATTATTGCATGCCATTCACACATATGTAAATTTATCTACATATCTGTCTTCATGTATAGACTCATTACTGTAATTTGAATATTTTGCATGTCTGCAACCCATCACAAACTTCTTAAAATTTGATAAACAACACTATATATTTTTTCTTGTGATAATTTTATTTCCTTTTTATTCTATATAGATACTTCCAATTTTTTTTTTATCATTGTTAACTTTTCCTTTGTGAATTTTTTTGGCACGCTTTGAGCTTTTATCAAGTGAGGCATCTAATGAATCTTGATAGACTCCCTTGGACTATAATTAGTACCAGCACCATTGGTTGCGAGTTTGAACTGGTGGAACATACCTGGTTGTTCTTGCAGTAGCATGGAGACAAGGGCACTAACATCATCCTAGCAAGACTAGTGCAAGAAGAGATAGTGTGAGCAACAGTGATACCAGAGTAAACTAAAGAGCAAATGTGGTTTCTCCTTCCTCTTCTCCCCTGCTTCACCCCTTCCCTCTTTTCTGTCTTTCATTACAGATTTACTATCTATCTAAATCTCTCTCCCTATCTATCTGATCATATCTCTATCTCTGTCCTACCTCCTTCTGCATCCCTTTCTTAGACAACCATTTTATAGTATTTGTAGATATTTTATATGACTTTAAAAAATTCCATATTTTTATGCATCAACAAGGTCTTAAAACTCTATCATGTTGAATAGCTCTCTCTTTACTCCATTAATTATGTGCAATGCTTTAAGGACCCCAATATTCTTGCTGGAACCTAACCTGTTTTCTTTTTTTTTTTTTTAAAGACTTAT